TTGGGCAAGAATAGGTCTGTTAGGGTAGATAGTGCACAAGCTTGGGACTCGGATGTAACTATGACAAGACAGGTAACTTTACCTACTTGTTTTTGGAGACATTGTTGGAAGAGAAGAGTATTGTCAGAGTAAGGGGTTGTAGGGGAAATCATAAAGAATCGATCCCATTCGGCTGGGCCAAAACTCGAAAGATTAGCAGAGGTGGAAGCTGTAGATGGTACGGGGGCGGGAGGAAGATGAGATGGTGTGGAGTGAGGTAGTATTGTTAGGACAACAACGAGCAAGGGATTGCGGGTGGGGGAGGGTTCTTTGTATAGAAAATGTATGATAACAGCTTTGTTTGAAGATGGATGGGGGAGGGAGGAGAAAGGGGTGGAGCTTCTTTGTGTAGATTAATGCCTGATAAACCATCTGTTAATTAGGGCTTCGTGTGGCGATAATTATTGATAAGTGTGCCAGGGTGGATGTATGTGAGAGAGTAAATTGCTGTGGTGTGGCTTTTTTGTACTGATAATTGCTTGCTAAAATACCTGCTAAACTTCCTTCAAAAAATTAAGTAAACAACAGTAACTTTTTTTTTTAAGGAGCAATGATATTTCCTGTGAACATAATACATAATCAGTCAGGAGGACATCCTTGACCATTTTGAATCTGTCCAGATTGATCTCTAAATAACGAAATCCCGTTATTAGTTGAGAAATAAGCGAAATTCAAAATCCATCCTCTGATTCTCTACTTTTTTAAAAATCTTATACAATCATAAACGACACAGTAACAAGACCAAAAATCGGAATCGAAACAAACGAACAAGTACCGTGGCAAACAACTAAAAAACATTTAAACCCAGACTCAGTGACACAAGGGCGCGAATCTCTTTCCGGAAGGCATTCGCGATTCGCCCGAGAAGATCGAAAGGGAGTTCAATGCTACAAGGAGTGGGATTCAGTTCATAAATTGGCGGGATGCGATGTAAAAAAAAAAAAAAATTACGATGAGGGTTTGGATAACAGAGATTAGCACCTTCCATTTTTGTTTCGTTATCTATAGATTTTTGCAAATGCTTTTGATGTAGCTAATTCGAAATATATTGAAGCAATGATCAAATAAAGAATATATGGAACAATCTAACGCCTACAACCCTGCTCAAAACTAAATAAAGAAAACAGTATATATATATATTACAAAAAAGGAACGAGAAAAGGCCTGCGAATTATGATCCCATGTGGCTATGATCAATTTGTCAGTTATTAGGCGTTCATAAACACGTGAATTTATTTCGCTACTACATGCCCTGGCAACATTTTTAAGACATGTAATAATTTGAGGACGTGTAACCTTGGCATACAGTAATTTGTAATTTAAATATAGTACGACCAAGCTACCCTATTCAGTAAAAAAAAAAAATCTACGTTGCAAATTAAGACTATGTGAGGCGAATAATAAATTTGTCCCAGCGGGCTCTAAAACAAGTGGGTATGGCAGGTTCCACTATTAACCTACAAGTTGCATTACTTCACAAAGACTGTACTTGCAATTTTTCTTCCCTGTGGAGTAAGAAAAAAATAAAGTAATATAATGACTAAAGAATTGTGACTAGATTTCTCTTATCCAAACTGCCATCCGATAATGACCCTTCTTACTCCTGCATCGCTTGTAAAATGGCCCCGTAAAAATAACATGAATTACAAGACCAAGTTATACCCCTGAACCTTCAAAATATTGTTTCCTGGACGCGCTCAACCACCGGGTTCCATGCTAACCCAATCAGCAAGGATTTACGTTCTGTTCCCTGTATTATTATTTATTTATTATTTTTATTTTTATTTTTATTTTTTTCGTTCCATGCAGATGGCTCCATATGTGCTCAGCCGGCAAGGAGTTTATCAGTAGCCCTAGTGACCGATCCTGATTTCCTCATTCCTTGAATTGGCGGGAAAATGTGTTTTTTCTTTTTAATACAATTGATATCGATACTGTTATTATTGTTATTGAGGTTATGATTATCAAATTGCTATTTAAATCTTGGTAACACTTAAGACAATGAATCAATACAAAAGACCCTTTCCAAAAATCAAGGAAAAGGGTAAACAGGTGAGATAGGTAGGACTAATAACTGATTCCTTGGTGAGTAAGCACTTGTAGAGCCATGTATGTGTAAACAGATTCAATAAATACGTGCCGATTGGGTTAAGACTGCTTCCACGATCACAAGCGACCTACATGGAGAGCGAGAACAACGGCATTCCACAAACCAGTTTTCCCTACTGGGCATTTAAACAGATAATTGGGAATAGATAAATTTTAAAACTTTTTGTGATTAGACTTTTGACAACTTTATAACTGGCACCGGATTTGCTCTTGGACATGATAATTTGGAATAGTCTATCTTCAGATATTACAGCAATGACACACATAATCAATAAATAACAATTGTATCTAGTAAAGTAGTTTTGAATTCGATGAGCATGTAAGGGTCTGCCGTAAAATGAAAAAAGGAGAAAACTATTCAACCCGAGTTTATAACCAGATGCAAGAAAAATAAAATAAAAATACTCTCTCTATCCGTGTCGTATTTCCAATTCCTCATCAATTTATATATCAGCCTACAACTGCAAATAAAAAGGCGAGATGGGATCTGTCGAGTCGTAGGGCACACAATGACCGAGAATGGGAGGTCCCTCGTTGTGTGGCTGTATGTGTCGCAGAATGATATGCCTCCGATATATATATATATATATATATATATATATATATATATATATATATAAAGTTGAAGTTGAAGAGGAGGAGGGAGGGAGATGGAGAGGGAGAGGGGGAGGAAGAAGAATGGAAGGAAGGGGGAGGATGAGTGGAAAGGAGGGAAAGAGGAACAAAGGAAGGAAGGAGAGAGGGAAGATGGTAGGAAGTGAGCAACTGAAGGAGGAGAGAGAAGAAAGAAAGGGAAGGAAAGGAAAAAAAAAATAAAGGGGGAAGGGAGCAAGTGATAGAAAAAACGAGGAACCAGAGGAGACAAAACAAAACCAACAAATAAACATATAAATAACAGAAAAAGAAAGCTAAGTCCCAAACTCCTTAAACCTAAATATCCGAAGACCAAACCAACTCAGCGAAAGTATCCCCAAACAGACTCAAATGGACCCATATAATCTTCAAATAGCTCCTAATTCGCCCTCAAATAGTCTCCAAACAGTAGCATATAATTTAATTTAATTTAGTTTGATTCCATTTGTTACAATGGATATTCTTGGTGTGACATACTGTCTGTTTTATTTTGCTTCTAAATTATCCCCTGTGTGCAAGGAATGGCCGGGGTTACCGCCCACTGGTGGCTCTGGATTCGAACGCAGGTAAGCAAGATTGCAAGACGAGATCTCTACCGCTGCACCACACAGCACAGTCCCCATATAGTCGCAAATAGCCCCCAGATAGTCCTAAATAGCCTCCAAATAGTCCCATTATAGCCGGAAATGGTCCCCCAAAATAGTACCCAAACAATAAAAACAAATAGCTCCCCAAAATTCCCGAACAATCCCAAATACCCGCTAAATAGCCCCACGCATTATCAAATTTAGCCCCAGAGTCCCCAAACTATCCCCAAACAGCTCAAATAATAGCCCCAAATGAGCCTAAATAATAGCCCCAATGAGCCCAACAATAGCTCCAATAAGCCCAAATAATAGTCCAAAAGAAGCCCAAATAATAGCCCACAAGCATCCCAAACAGTTCAAGCATTAGATCCAAAGGACCCAAATAATAGCACCAAATGAGCCCAAATAATAGTCACAAAGCATCCCAAACTATATCCAACAAAAAGCCCAAACAATATCCCTCAAACAGCCAAAAAATAGCCCCAAAGAGCCCAAACAATACCTCCAAACGGTGCCCCATCTCTTACCGTCTTCCTGAGCGCGACCCCGTTAATGAGTTCCCCATTATGAGCCGTTGCGAATGGGCCGTGGCGAGTGTGCACCATAAAGGGCTGGATGTTGCTAGGGTCACAGCCTCCCATCGTGGCGTACCTGGTGTGCCCGATGCCCAGGTGCCCTGAAAGATTTGTTTATTTATTTGTTTCTATTTTTTCTATTTTATTTTTATTTTTTTGAGATGAATATATATAAATATACATTCTTTTTTCTTCTTCTTTTTTTGAGTGCGTATATACGTATGTTGAGCCTATATCTTTATAGGTATCTGCAACTATGGTTATATGTGTCTTACATACACACACGCACATGCACACACCTCACTTTCTCTTTCTCTCTCTCTCTCTCTCTCTCTCTCTCTCTCTCTTTCTCTTTCCCTTTCTCTTTTTCTCTTTCTCTCTCTCTCTCACGCACCCACATACTTACACATGCACATACGCACACACACAATCATTTACATATACCTATATGGGGGTGTCGGTGTGTGTATGTATTTGTGTGTGGGTATGTTACGTGCGGGTGCGTGTGTTGGTGTGTGTGTGTGTTGGTGTGTGTGTATTGGTGTGTGTGTGTATTGGTGTGTGTGTGTATTGGTGTGTGTGTGTATTGGTGTGTGTGTGTACTGGTGTGTGTGTGTACTGGTGTGTGTGTGTATTGGTGTGTGTGTGTGTGTATTTGTGTGTGTGTGTGTGTGTGTGTGTGTGTGTGTGTGTGTGTGTGTGTGTGTGTGTGTGTGTGTGTGTGTGTGTGTGTGTGTGTGTGTGTGTATTGGTGTGTGTGTGTGTGTATTGGCGTGTGTGTGTGTGTGTGTGTGTGTGTGTGTGTGTGTGTGTGTGTGTGTGTGTGTGTGTGTGTGTGTGTGTGTGTGTGTGTGTGTATGTGTGTGTGTGTGTGTGTGTGTGTGTGTAGGTAGGTAAGCATGTGAGTGTGCTTGCGTGTGCATCTGTGTTCTTTTGTGTGCGTGTGTATGTGTGCACCCATGTGTGTGCTTGCGTGTCTCCCTGCCTGTGGACGCAAGCGTGTGTATATGCTTTTCTATGTGTGTCGGTGTGTGCATCTGTTTGTGCACCTGTTTGTATCTGTACTTGTGCATGCAGATATCCAGCAAGTCGAAAACGCCTCACCCTTGAGTTTCTGCAGGCTCTCGTCCTTGAAGGTGGAGGCGACGAGGCCCTCTCCCTTGTGGTAGTGGAACTGTTTGCACCCGACGCCCTCGCTTGTGACGATGCCCGCGCTCTCCTGGCCCCTGGGATCCGGTAAGAGGTTAAATGACAAGTGTTTTAGCGACTTTTAGAAAATTCGATTCGATGTAAGTCAATTTCTTTTATTATAGTTTCATGATGACGGGTATATTGCAATAATAATTCAGAATTTCCAAGATATCGGAGTGTATCTTTTCAACAATGATGTTATATTGATTTTTTTTAGCTATTTAGGTGTGTAGAGCTCAAGAAAGGTTATATTTTCACTTATTCTCACGACTGAAATACCTGTTTGAAAGCCAACATTAACCAAACACCTATACATCCCCCCCCCTCAAACCCTATCTTTATTTTTTCACTTTTTTTTAGCTTTTTGGGTGTGTTGACCTCAACAAGGGTCCCATTTTAACTTATATTCACGACTGAATTATTGTTTTTATAAGCCAACATTAACCAAACACTTATTTCCCCCCCCCCCTCAAAACCTTTTTTTGTCTATTTAGGTGTGCTGAGCTCAACAATTTTAACTTATTTTCACGACTGAAAAATGTCTTAAACCTATCTTTAATTTTTCCCTTTCACACCTACCTGTGCTGCAGAGCCACCAGACCTAAGTATATGACCTGCGCCACATTGACACTTCCTTCTGGCGTGTTCCTGGCCACCACGCAACCGAAGACACCGCACGCCTCCCGCAGTTCGTCCTCGTCAGCGCCCTCTTCAGCGCTGCCCCACGACATCGGGCTGGCCGCGTCGGGACCCAAGCACGTCCGCTGGTGGTATTCTGTCATTGGGCCGCGTGCTAGAGGGGGTGGGGTGGGGTGGTCTCTGGTGGGAAAAAAGGAGTGAGTGAGTGAGTGAGTGAGTGAGTGAGTGAGTGAGTGAGTGAGTGAGTGAGTGGGTGGGTGGGTGGATGAGTGTTTGAGTGAGTGAGTGAGTAGGTGAGTGAGTTAGTGAGTGAGTGGGTGTGGGAGTGGGGGAGGGAGTGAGTGAGTGGGTGAGTGAGTGAGTGGGCGGGTGAGTGAGTGAGTGGGTGGGTGGATGGGTGAGTGAGTGGGTGGGTGGATGAGTGAGTGAGTGGGTGGGTGGATGAGTGAGTGAGTGGGTGAGTGTTTGAGTGAGTCGGTGGGTGAGTGAGTGAGTGAGTGAGTCGGTGGGTGAGTGAGTGAGTGAGTGGGTGAGTGAGTGGGTGAGTGAGTGAGTGAGTGAGTGAGTGGGTGAGTGAGTGAGTGAGTGAGTGGGTGGGTGGGTGAGTGAGTGAGTGAGTGAGTGGGTGAATGGGTGCGTGGGTGAGTGAGTGAGTGAGTGAGTGAGTGAGTGAGTGAGTGGGTGGGTGTTTGGGTGAGTGAGTGGGTGGGTGTTTGGGTGAGTGAGTGGGATGGTGGGTGGGTGAGTGAGTGGGTGGGATGGTGGATGGTGGGATGGTGGGTGGGTGAGTGAGTGGGTGGGATGGTGGATGGGTGGGTGAGTGGGTGGGATGGTGGATGGGTGGGTGGGTGGGTGGGTGGGTGGGTGGGTGGGTGGGGAGTGAGTGGGTGAGTGAGTGGGTGAGTGAGTGGGTGAGTGAGTGAGTGAGTGAGTGAGTGGGTGGGTGAGTGATAATTATAATATATATATGTATGTGAGAGTGAGTGAGTGAGTGTGTGTGTGTGTGTGTGTGTGTGTGTGTGTGTGTGTGTGTGTGTGTGTGTGTGTGTGTGTGTGTGTGTGTGTGTGTGGTTGTGTGTGTGTGTGTGTGTGTGTGTGTGTGTGTGTGTGTGTGTGTGTGTGTGTGTGTGTGTGTGTGTGTGAGTGTGTGTGTGTGTGTGTGTGTGTGTGTGTGTGGTTGTGTGTGTGTGTGTGTGTGTGTGTGTGTGTGTGTGTGTGTGTGTGTGTGTGTGTGTGTGTGTGTGTGTGTGTGTGTGTGTGTGTGTGTGTGTGTGGTTGTGTGTGTGTGTTTAAGTATATATGTATGAATTTATGAATTTTTGCATATATGTATGCGTATGTATATATACACACACATGCGCTTTTGGTTATACATGTACAAGCAAGTATACACAAGTACTGGATATAAACACATTAAACACTCCACAACAGTTTCAACTGTGCACATACAAGTATGTATACATATATCATATTCTGAATATCCATACAATAAACACTTCACAACACTGATTCAACTTATATGTATATATTCTTACACTATATACTTTTATACATAAACACACAACCAATTTTTCTTCTTTTTATTCCACAACACTTCTGGAGACAGGAAATAAAGAAAATAACTATTTGCGGCGAAAACTTGGGTCAGCTCATACACGAAACTGCCACCCACACACTTAACACCCTTTCTCTTACATCTAGCTCTGCCTGGTGACTGACCAGCGAGACAACGTGAAGCACTTGGCTGGACTGGCACATAGTAGCTGGATAATCATATTCCCGTCCTATTGTTGTTGTACTTTTAGTTAGCAGAATCGAGAGTTTTATATGTAGCATCGGATTGGTTTTAATAAATGTTAGAACGGGATTGATTGTGTAGTTTTGATCAAGTTAACGATGAATATTTCATTTGTAGGCTTACCTGGCATGGAATGTATAAGGAATTCTCTGATTATCATTTAGTTTTTTTATCTAATACATCGGAAGCTGTACTGGGAAGAATGACGATATGATAATACAATGGACATTTTATCTACTGTTTCTATATATATGTAGAAGTTTATATAAAGAAGCGAGAAATGTTCAATGTATTAACAGTTAGCCTTTATCCAGGGAAGAGTACTGGGTATCTCAAATGAAGCCAAAAATAATTAATACTTCCAACTCATGGACAAGTAAAATGTAACAATCGCTAATAACATGATACTGAAAATGGCTTAATATGTAGCATTTCATCTGGCACTAAAGAAACAGTATGCAAGAGAGATCTATGCAAAGAAGTGTTGAAATTGCAAAGGTAGATAAATCGTTTATATTTAGACATCATCGTGCCTCAGCCACGCTACCCATGGTCTCCGAAACATGGTTCATTAGAAGTTTCCTTACAGTCCGAAAAAAAAACTTCAAAACACTTCCTCGATATTCTTGTGTTATACATTTTTTTCTCTTTTGCTTACTTCACTTCATACTAGAAATGATGAAACGTGTTACCCAACTTGAAAGCAAACTGCACTATCACGTAGCATGCTCTCCAGAAGTGCATGGCATTATCACTAAAACGGAAATATATTATCACAGTAGGAGAGCAGATTTTCATTATCAGCGACATAGGAATATCTCATTTCAGGAAGGAAAAGATAAGATATCCATGAGGTATAAAGGACTCTATGTAACTAAAACAAAAAAAAAGGTATTTTTATCTTAGCGACGGGGAAATTTCTTATCAATGAAAGAGAGAGACGCACGTGGTTTTTGTTATCAATGGAAAAAAGCTACGATTGTTAATTCTTGGGAAAAAAATGATGGGTTTCACAAGTAGATATAAGTTTCATCATTTGCGAAAGGGGAACTTTTATCAGAATTATTCGTTAAATAAATTATGTATGTGAATATGAGGTGGCTTTTCTGCATCCCGGAAGTGTAAGGTATGCGTGCAAAATAATAGAAAATCTAACTTCCGTTATAAACACACGTGTTCACACACATAAGCACACGCACATAGACACACATATATATCTATCTCACTAGATATCTATATATCCATCTATATCTATCTACACACAATTATATATATATATATATATATATATATATATATATATATATATATATATATGCGTGTGTGTGTGTGTTTGCGTGTGTAATCTCTGATTTGGCAGTTATTTGCAAAGACGTTCTAATTCATTATTGTGTCTTTTTACTTCCTGCATTCGCAGAAATCAATATTGGGTTTAATACCTGTGTATTTCAGCTGATACACATACTCACACATATGTGTGTGTGTGTGTGTATATATATATATATATATATATACATATATATATATATATATATATATATATATATATATATATATATATATATTCATATGCATATATGAATGTATATATGCGTGTGTATATGTTTATTTATCTCTCTCTATATGTATATATATATCTATATATTAAGATATATATATATATATTGATAGATAGAAAGGTAGATATGTACATATATTTATTCATGTATTTATGTATCAACAAATAAATTTATATATATACATATTGTTTATATTTCTGTTTGTGCGCATGCATGTATATGTATATGTATGTATATGTACTTATATATATATATATATATATATATATATATATATATATATATATATATATATATATGTATGCATATATACATATATATGTATATATATACACGTGTAAATACATACATACATATATATATATATATATATATATATATATATATATATATATATATATATATATATGTATATTTATATATATATATCGATATATACATATACATACACACTAATAGTGCGCATGTGTGCATATATATACATATACATATACATATCATAAAAAGTACAACGTAGGACTGTCCTTCGGCCTCCTGTGGAAGGGAATCGCAGCCAGACATTAAGGCCCGGCCAGGAGGGGGGGGGGCGCAGGACAGGTTCTCCGTCGGGCGGCGCCTCCCGTTTCCTAGAGGAGGGGGGGGGGGCAGGGCTGCCAACCTTGGTATCAGTCTTATCTCTCCATGAATGGTCCTGCTATTTGAGTATTCTAAGAGCGTTTCCATCGCAGGCGTTTTGTTTGATATTTCGTCACTCTATAAAAGAATCTGTGGATGAAATTTCTCGAAACAAAAAAAATGAAAGACGGAGTAAAAATTATTTGTGTAACCTAACCGATATCGACGACTTCCAGCTATCTTCATGGGGTATCGGGTAGAAATCTCATTTAACAAACATCTAGAAAAACCAAACGCGACAAAAAAACAGAAATATATTAATGAAATCCCGAACTACACGAATATCATAAGAAATAATTAAAAATCCACGTGTGTAAAAGCTGGAAGGAGACGCCGATTGAAAGGCCTCAGGCGAAAAATCCCTCGAACCTGTGGCCTCAAAATCATGTATCGTTATTATTGTCTCCAGGGAAGTAAGTCTCTATTATGAGATCGTGTAAAGCTCTTGTCGTATATTTTTTCATTCATTTTTAGATCGTTTTTTTTATTTATGCACATTATTAGAGGCAGATCAGAAGCTAACCAGATGGGTTAAAGGGTATACAAAAATGCCATAAAAACTGGAAAGAACTGGTTTGACAGGGTAAGTAGCCCCAATGAAATAAAAACCATTTTTATTTTTTTATGTTATCTTCTGTTACTGTTGTTTGAAACTTTCTCAAACACCTTTTTCCCTAGTTCTATACATTGACAACACAACAGTGCTTGACGTGAATACCAATAAAATCTACGAGAAAAAAATATAAACAGTAAAATCGCGGCTCACCCATAGGCATAGTTATAAAAAAAAATACTGATGGTTATCGACGTTCTTGGAAAGGGGCTCCAGACACGGGATAGTTTTAGTGTACGAGAAGGTACGTTTCGGTTTCTTACGTACACATAGTCACTAGTACTTACATTCATGGACACAAATACACTCAGTTTCATTTTAACTCTCTCTCTCTCTCTCTCTCTCTCTCTCTCTCTCTCACACACACACACACACACACACACACACACACACACACACACACACACACACACACACACACACACACACACACACACACACACGGGAATCTTATACTATGCGTGACACCTGACCTGTGTCTCCGCTGAAACTCGGGTAATAAGATACGCAAATATGAGTGATAATTGGA